GTGCCCACACACAGCGCCCCAGTGGCGCCGGACAAACTCACTGAAGATGAAACCAGCAGTGCTACTGCGAGGCGCGAGCAGGCTGCCAGATGTATTGGAGGCTTGGCAGCCTGGCTGTGGTCCTGCTCCTGGAAAGGCACGTGCCACTGCAGCCTCCGGTGACTGCAGGCCTCAAAGACGCGAACGCCAGCCCTAACAGACACACCGCTCCGACAGACACAGAGGAGCTGACAGAACTGCTGGGCCCTGGGCAAGGTGGGTGGTGCCGCCGTGGCATCCCACACGGGACGGGCCTCAGGCAGAAGGGGCGTTGCTGGGGCACCTGGCCCTCAGCGCCCCGGATCACACTGCATCCCCTCTCCGGTGCAGCCCAGATCGCACGGCGCCCCCTTCCCTGGCCCTCGGTGCCCCTGGATCGCACGGTGCCTCCTCCCTGGCCCTCGGTGCCCCTGGATCGCACGGTGCCTCCTCCCTGGCCCTCAGCACTTCTGAATCGCATGGTGCCCCCTCCCCGGTGCCACCTGGATCACATGGCGCCCCCCTTCCCGGCCCTTGGCACCGCCTGGATCACATGGGCCCCCCCCTTCCCGGCCCTCTGCACTGCCCAGATTTCACTGCGCCCCCTTCCCGCCTCTCCTCCGACATGGAAGGCCCCGCACACACCGTTGGCAGGAGTACAGGGCCATGGTGGGTGACGTGTTCCCGGGGCCTGGCATTTCAGCCCAGAAGCGCCAGTGCTACAAATGAGACCAGTCTGCCTCTGGGCCAAGTGAGCTGGCAAAGGAAAGGCAGGAGACTCGCTTGCCACGTCTTTATTGTCGTGCGTCTGGTACAAATCTCACGCCCACGTTCTAACCAAAACCTCCATTGTACTTTCCCACACAGGGCCATGCCGGACAGTGCCCGTCTTTAGCCAGTCTCGCCTTCTGCCCCGGAGAGACGGGTGGGACACAGCTCCGCGCGCGGCCCGGCCTGTGGCCACCACAGGCAATCGCTGCATTTCAGGGCAGGCGCGTGGCCTGCAGGAATCCCAGCCAAACTGGCCAATCGTTACTTCCCTCCTGCGTCTCCTGCCTGCAAACATGGGGGGGCGCAAGCACATCGTGCTACGGCAGCAAAGCTGAAAAGGACACAACTCTCGAGTCCCCCTTCTCCGGTGCTAGGGCAGCACCAGCACGAGGGGCCTGATCCTGGCCCAGCACCACCGAGTAGGAGGAGCAAAGAACTGAGGCGGCGCAGTGGGGTACGGCTCCATGGCACAGCTACACTGCAGGGAAGCCTCGGAAGGAGGCCGAGGCAGGTTTCCCTAACGGAGACGTGCCATCTCGCCGCAGAGCCCGCGAGGGATAGCTTCGCTTGCCCTGCCGAGGGGCTAGTTTGAAACTGAAAGCAGGTGCGCGCCGACGCTCAGCTGCTGCGGCGGAAGAGGCGCGATCCCTCGTCGAATGAGGCTCACAGCAGTCGGACTAAGCCGGCCCTTATTTCAAACTAACGGGATGCCGTGCAGACGCTCACAGGTATTCCACAGTAACGTTGCTTGTAGACGCCCCCTCACGGAGGCAGCACACGCCAGCGCGAGCCCATGGCTTGCACCGGGGCTGCAGGAGCTCAGCGCTCAAGAGGCAGGCCAAGGACAGGAGGCTGCAGGACTCCCGGGGAGGAGGGAGGCTGGAATG